TTCCTGCTTTTGGTTAAAACTCGGATGAATAAACTGAAGAAAGGTGTTTTGAAGGCAAAAGGGGGTCCAACCCGTTACTAGCGTGGTGTACCTAATAAAGTGGCCGGTGAGTGTATATATATATAATTTTTTTTCCAGTTTTACTCTTTGGTTTTGTACTTTAATCTATGTCAGTCTAAAAAGTTTAAAACACCAACATAAAAAATGGTAAAATAGATCTGTCTTGTATTGTTAGCATTGTCTGAATTGGGTTGTACTGTAATTTTAGTGGTGTGTTTGAAACAACAGTATTTTATAGCCTCTTTAACCGAGTGCTTTGCCCTCCTAAAAAGAGCCGACATAAGCAGTAATCCTATAGGAGCAGAGCTGCTGTTTGGACGATTTGCTGCTGGCTCTGCAAAAATCTAACTTTAACACATTCTTCACAGAGGTTTGCCTAAATGTAATTGTGTTTTTGTCACAGATTACAGTAATAAATGTGCATTGTTTTTTGTCCTTAGTGGAGTCATTTCCACTCAGGAATTAAAAGGTTTGCAGAAAATGTAATTGAATCAGCAATAGGTTTACAGCTGCTATTGTAATATTTCTACATGGCTTCCATCAGCAGAACCTGTCTGCTGTGAAATGCTCTGGAGTTTGTTTAAACCTCGTGCTTTGGTTTTTACTGCTTCTATGATCGCATCACATCGGCTGTAACAATGAGCTAGATGTTTACACGAGATCCCGTAGCCTCCTCCCTTGCTGTGTCCCCCATTGTTGAACATTTCAAACAGTTACACATATTTTGTCGCTGTAATTGGCTGCCAGCTGCAGATAAACAATATTAGCATAATTTTTCAAAGGCATGTTTTCCACAGAGGTTGTTAGAGCCTGTAAGGTCACAACATTACACACTGCACTAATGAGGGTCTGCCTCTTGACTTGTGTAATTGGATTTCAATGGTTCCCGCAGGAATTAAAGTGTTAAATTGAAATTGCACTGGCTGTAGTCATTGTTACGCTGATATTATTTTTTAGTGAACTTTGAAATTTATTTGCCTTCTTTTAATTTTTTTTTATTATTATTGTTCTACATTAAATATTTGACAGGTAACAGCTGTTTTAAAATTAGACATTTAGGTAAAAAAATATTTATGCAAAAAAGAGTTACAAATACATACATCAAGTTTACAGATGTTTGTTCATTTATTACATTTTTAGTTGGCATGTTCTTTCTTATGATTAAACATAAATTATATTAGCTTTACATTAAAAAAACATCACAGTTTACTTAAATTGTATCTTTAAAGGATGATTTTTCTTTAAAATTAGTAACAAAAAATAGATTTTTTATTTTCCCATTTACGAAAACAAACTACATAGTTAAATATACACGTAAAATAGTCTTTAGCAGTTATGCTCATTGTTTATTGGCAAATTTTTAGAAGTTTCAGAGAACAACAACTTGTTTTAATTTTAACTGCCGCACTTTAATTTTAAACTTCAGTTTAAAGTTTAGTTTCAAACAAAAACAAGCGGGAAAACACTTACGTGTGCATATGTTTTAAACTAAACTTTAAGCTAAACTGAGGCAGCACAAGCATGCACAGTACATCTGCACATGGATCCTGCTCCTTTCTGTATGTTGACCAATGGGAGAGGAGCTGACCCAAGAAGCACCGCCCACCTTCTTTTTTCATATATATTTATATTTATGAAAATGTATGTCTGTACAGACATAAAAAGTAAAAAAAAGTGTCTAGTAATAAGGAAAACGTAGTAAATGTCACTAATGCACATTAATGTTCAACATAACTCTTTTATATTAGATTTGGAGTTAAGGTTCATACTATTACTACTTAGCTGTATTGAAAAAAATATCTATAAATATATTTATACTTTATAGTAGGACCAAATAAAAATCGTTATCGTCATTATCCTGCTCGTTAAATGTTTTCACATTATTCTTTTTGTCATCTTTAATCTGACATTAGTCAATCATTAGGTGGTTGTTTTTTTTTTTTGTTTTGTTTTTTGATTTTTATCCTTCAGGCTCTCTTTAGGCTTGTTTGTGTCCCTCTTTCTTTGATTCTGCCACTTTCTCTGTCTCTGTTCTGTTTTATCGATGAAGGCAGGGGGGACTTTGGGGGATACCGGTTATTTCAGCTCTAGTTGCGCTGCCGTCACACAGACTCACAGACGTACTGCTGGCCTACTTTTCCAGGTCTTTTCCCCTCTGGAAGTGTTTGGTTTTCTGTGGTCACGCTCACATATTACTGTTGAGACACACAGAAAACACAAACACATGGAAACCCAGACTGACACAGCTGCTCTCAGCTGTTCCAGCTTATTTTTACTTTAGTTGATTTTGTTACAAGTTGGAGGATACAGCGGGTAAAATAAGTATTGAACACGTCAACATTTTTCTCAGTAAATATATTACTAGAGGTGCTAATGACATGAAATTTTCACCAGATGTCTGTAACAACCCAAGTGATCCATACATACAAAGAAATCAAACCAGAAATGTCCAAAAATGAAGTTATTTGTAATAATGTGGAATGGCACAGGGAAAATGTATTGAACACATGAAGAAAGGGAGGTGTAAAAAAGCCAAGACACCAGCTGAACTCTGTCAGTAATTTGAAAGCAAGCCTGCCCCTTGTCAGTGCAAGTTAATATCAGCTGGTTC